TATTGGTGGAGTTAAAAATTATTGAAGTTGTGTGTGCGGTTCGAAAAATTGCCTGCAGAAGACGATAGCCTGCAGGAGGTGGGGCGGACGAATAAAGGAAGACACTAGAACGCGATCTGCCGGCGAGCTTAGCTCCCGGATGGAATGCTCTATTGAACATGTTTCGCACGCCGTGCTTGAACTCACTTCTTGCCAAGCGCAAGGATAACCAGAGGCTGAACAATCATAGTCATCGATCAGGAATTTGATCGATCTCGAAGTCACAGTGAACTATGAACCTTTTTATCCTCTTCCTACGGTGCATCGGTCAGATTCCGACCTGGTGGCTGACTTCATCCAGCCTGACTCTCTATCTGAAAGTACAAGAATACCCAGATCTTATCCCCATCCCTCCAGGATCGCACTTTCGGGCTTCACTGTATCTTCCGGCGATAGCGGTATGCTTTTTCTTTGCATCCTGCGCACGGATAATAGCTGATCCGACAGATGTGGTTTATTGCTGTTTACAACACCCTGACTTTTGTAGTGGCTTTCGTGATACGCTTCGAAGCCAGCATCATCTTGCTACCATTTGATCTATGCGTGGTATCTGCACTTCTAGTGGTAACGCTTGCCCTGGAGAGCCCCTACATGCCCAAGGCATCAGGAGACTGCAAGAACTCTGCTGAAGTTCTAGCCAATGGATACTTCAAATTGTTAGCAGACGCAGAACTGAAGTTATGGATACCAAGCCAGCCAAGTAATGATGGCGACGAAATTCCCCAGCTGAGGGAACCACCTTCGGCAATGTCTGAATGCCAAGATTTCTACCATGTATGGTGGTTTACCAAGGCGTGTTTGTAGGTTCCCATCCGCATCCCTTTACATATGGTGGCTTATAGGGGTAGAGTATTGTTTCTGCTTTCGAGCATGGTTGACTTTGCCTCATTTTGTTGGTCATTCAGCGTCTTAGGCGAAGCAAAGCGAGTATATGTTGGAAGCATTCGATTCGTAGCAAGATACGCTACGAGGACCCAAAAGCATCCAAAGAATCGAATGGGACGCTTTGTACTGGACAGCGCGCCCGAGAAATATGGCCAGAATCCAGAAGAAGTCGAAATGGAAACCTTCAGACAAATACGAGATACGTCTGAAGCTGCTCCCGATGTGTGTCATGAGTGTCTCCAGACTCTTTCCAGCACCGAGCTTCGTCAATTTTGAAATCTTCGAATGCGCTGTCAATATTAGTGACGCTCTTCCCCAGAGCTAGATGGAATGTTAGCAGCAAGCAGGTACCGATACGAGAAAACGGCGAGGGCACAAAGACTTACTACTCATGTCGCGTTGATGAAGCTTCTCCAAGCCCGGGCGTATTCCGTCCACAATACGTCTACACCCTTTCGCAAACTCGTCTGCCGGAGATGGGCCGAGAAAGAGTTCAACAAGTAAATGAGTCCGTCCCGTTTCCGTTTTGTCTGGTCTTGAAGGTAAAATATCGCCGGAGAGCTTGACCGTTTGGCTCTGATAGCCTGATACACTGTGGGCGGAAAGTTGCTGCGCGAGCGGGGCTTTTTTATATGTTCGGGATTTGCGAGGACGATCTACGCCACGAATTAGCCACTGCCACAGACTCAACCTGAAGCGGTTCTCACCCTTTGCAAAATCGCAGATCTGTGACCCCTTCGGACACCTACTTGATCCCGTCATGTGGCTAAATTGACAGTTGGTGCAACGCATCTTGGTAAGGTCATCGAAACCACGTAGGAAAACGCATTCTACAAATGGACCAAGACCATTTCGACAGTTCTTGCACGGGGTTCCTTGGATTTCGCCTCAAAGATGGCATACTGCAGCAACCTTTTGATCGAATAGATTAGAACTAATCTCGAAGTGAGATATATCTCGGAGATTTGGATGCCGTGAGGGTTGTCTCTCATGAAGTAAGGCGGCTAGCCTAACTGCTGAACATTGGCGAGCTTTAGCTTCTATGTACTTAAAGACCTCTGTTGGATCTCCCGGATCGTTTAGTATAGCTTTAGCACGCCCCATCTATTCTTGCGAAAATAGAGAGTAAGGGAGACTTTGTCAGAGTAGCATCCGATGTGGTTATGCACGTGAATAGTTGATGAACAAATATATTGCTACAAAGGTTTCGGAGGTGCGTGGCAGCTCGGCTATCTATAGTCATGTGCTGTCATGCACGGAGAAACCTATCCTCCAGTCTCATCTCATCCATTTCATCTGGAGCTCTTCTCATCTCGTGTCCAGTCCATGACAGAGAGAGCAATTTTAGCACTAGCGGGAGGTTGTGACGATATTGGCCGCAACAGCAAACCTTGACCGCAGGCTAATTCTGCATCCGAGGTTCAGCCGTCACGGCCGTGCCAACCCATAAAAATAAAGCTACTTTTAGAGCTGTAATGGGTCATGTCTAATCCATGACACTACAGCAACCCAGACTTTTTTTAATAAAATCAGAATCTGGATAGTGGAGGGTAAATAAAAGCCAAAAATTTTTTAAAAAAAAAAAAAAAAAAAAAAAAAAGAATGCGGTGAATGTGGATTGAACACATGACCTTTAGATTGAATGACTAAAGTTTACTTCAGTCTAACCTAGGAAGGCATTAGACAGATATGTATTAGTCGTATAATTAAGACTTACGCGACTCCCAGCTGCGCCACCACCGCAAGATGTTTGTGAGTAGATTTTTAAAAACTTATTATAGTCATAATCTTACAGTAGATAATCTTTAGATAAGATCCGGGCCCCCTTTTAATAAGACAGAGCGCAGCTAAGCACGGCTAAGCACGGCTAAGCAGAGCATGAGCAACACAATTAAGCCAGAGATGAGCCGGGCGTGATTCGGCTGAGTTAGCGGGCTGATACCACTAATCGAGTTGGGTGTATGGAGAGGGTATGTTGGATGGGAATATAGCGGGACACAATCAAGGACAAACTACCCTCATACAAAGTCCATTTCTGTTTTTGAACGTGAGTTACGCAGGGGTCTAGCGCGAGCGCTGAGTTAGCAGCCTGAGTTCCCACCAAGCCACACTGAGCCACGCTGAGCCATCATGAGCAAGCTTGAGCACACCCTAAACTGGCATGAGCTCAGGTAGGTACAACATGAGGTAGTGAGATCCTGACTGGAGTGATGCCTAAATCCAGGAACCACATCCTAGTTTAGTGGCTGGAATATGACACCAGTAAACAGGGATTTATCAGCCTAGTTTTCGCCAACACAATCCTTAGGATCCTACATGTTAAAAAGTGCCCAATTCGCGGCCCCTTAAAGCTCAGTAAAACCTACCTTTATCAGACGGAGGACAAAGTTTTATAATTATTATGGCAAGGGTCTTCTAACCAATAAAAATACCCAATCTTTGTTATGAGCCTATACCCCCTGGTACAAGCACAGCTTGTAGCAGGTACGTAGAGTGGTCTCAGGGTTTTTCACGTAGGAGCGGAGTATCGAGGATCCAATAATGTAAGAAGGGTTACTAAGCTTTGAACAACTTTGTAATAAATAAGGACTTATTTAATTCAGCTTATAACTAATTATAGGTATAGTTTTGGTATGATAATAAAACGCGAGGGAGTTAGTTAAGCTGGTTCCCTCTTATATATATATATACTTGTAATCTTTTTAATCATAACTGTTATCCTTCTGATTAGATCTTTACTAATCTTGGGTTGATTATTACTAATCAGTGTAATAACCTGTGATCTGTGGGTGATCACCTTAGATCGCTCTATCCTAATCTATGGTTTATTATTACTAATTAATTACATAACCTTTATTTATTATAACCTATCTATGGAATGCTTATAATAAGTACAAAGGAGATGGTGTTTAGCCTTAACACGGCTGGGTTGTAATATTACTTCTCCCCTTCTTAACTATTGGCCTAATAATTATTCTGGTGTGGTATATATAACAGCTAATAATATGTTTAACTATTATGGCTTCCGCCCGCATTCCCGCTTTTTTTATACTTTGTTGTTACTGTCTTATTGCTAAACTTTATAAGGCCCTTATTATAATGCGTCCTTATTACAACTGCGTGCATTAAAAACTGGACTATTGCATTAATCCTAACTCCTAAAGATGTTTAGAGTGTGTAAGGAGGAACTATCCTTGCAATCTAGCCTTTTTTAAGGTTAACTTTAACAAAATTAACTATAAAATAAATTAGGTTTAGAACAAAATAATAGAATTTATAACTAAGACTAATTATTTGCAGAAATAATTAGAGTTCCTTTATAAGTGTTAACAGTCCTTAGCTTTTAATAAAACTTAAAACATTCTAAACCTTAAGTTTAAGGAAGGAAAACCTAAGGAGGTTGCTTTACTTAAGGAGTAAAATCCTTTTTATACTGTCCCTAGAATTACGTGGGATGTATTAATAAAGGAATTAACTTTCTTTTTAATTAATTCTTAATTTAATTAAATCCTTTTTAACAGTGTGTTTTCCTCCTTAAATTCTGGTATTATTATATTTTTTCTCCATATTTAGCTAATATAATCCTTATTTCTTAAGTATTTTTTAAGTTTAGGTATCCTTTCTATTTTATTAAGTATTTTCTGCTTTTTTTTTGTAGGATCTTTTTTACTTTAAATTTATATTCCTTTTTTAATTTATAATTAAATATTTCTGCATATAATATGCTTTTATCTGCTAATTTTAATAAGGATAAATAAAATACTGGGTGGACTTAAGCATCCTATAAAAGGTTTAACTTATAATTAACTTTATTTTTCTTTTTTTTAATAATAAATAAACTAATTTTTACTGCATTAAGCTTCTTATAAGGTCTTTTTATTTTCAAATTTTTTGTAAGTAAATATACTTTATCCCCCTT